TATAAGCACTGATATACTATCATACGAAAGATTTTCTTTAGCTTAAATGGATACAGTAGTTCCTTATAGGATAAAGACTAGTTAATATGATTGTTTTCTTAACAATGAAAAATTTGGATATGTACAACGAGATAGAACTTTATAAATATACACATGTCTTGAAGATAACGAATTTCTGCTGCTTCATTAGGTAAGAAATGAACAAACCCAACTGAGATATAAAAAATCTTCGTTTACACTTGAAATGAACGTCTTTGTAAAATTGCCAGACAGTGACGACTTTTAGAAGCATATGGATGGTTTATGCTTCAAATTGAATGTCGGAAGTTGGAAGGAAAATGGACAGTTTGGAAATAGGACCAATAGTAATAAGTGGTACACCATTAGATGCTAGGTATCTTCAAATGAAACAAGATTCAATAAGGTGAATATCGCGAATGCGTTTTTGTGACTTAATGTATGAACTTGATTGTTACGAGTATCCACAGTTCCGTAGTAAATCCTTCTTCCATCTCCTGAAACTTACGTAGGAACTTTTCTTGAAAAAAAAATTCGCATATTTGACACGTTTTTGGGGCGTTCGGACATTTAAAAGAAGATTCATTGCTATTGGTTCAACTACCGTTTTGCCCATCTGCCTTTATACAGGGTGTCCCAGGAATAACACGCCAGAGTGACACGTCAGGCAGATTGGCTTCGGATCAATCAGATAAAATCAACATGACCTTAGTAAAATCCCTACTTTTTGCTCCTTTTTTTGCCTGTTATGGCTATAAAGAACTTCTAATTTATGATTTTTTCCTGGGCTACCCCTGATAGTTGATTGAGACAACCGAGTATTCATTTCATTGAAAACTAGCACGGTATGCTAAAAAAAAACTGAGTTGGTACACTTGGTTTCAAAGCGAAAACCTGAATGATTCCAAGTTTTGTCATTGAAGTCGTAATACTTGCGAAATACTACAAATTAAAAATAATAAATGCAGCTGTCTTTTGTGTCCAAATTTCAACTTTGTAGATGCTGTAATCGCTTTTTATTTTGGCAAATGCCTAAAACAGCTATCCATTATACTCAAAATAATGAACATTAGGTCGTATTTTTTTATTTCCACTGATTTAGGTAGTACATGCGCACCGCGATTACTGCAACTTCAAATTTGTAATTTGGACTCAAAAGACAGCTGCATTTATTATTTTCAATTTGTAGTAATTCGCAAGTATTACGACTTCAATGACAAAACTTGGAATAATTCAGTTTATCGTAAAAATAGCCTACAAAAATATTATGATATTTTGAAGCGAGCATTCAATAGCTAATTTGTAGGCTCATTTGCAGATTTACTCAGGACATTTTTTTAAACAATAATTAGTGAAACTTTAGTAAAGGTTTTCGCATTGAAAACAAATGTAATAATTTGTTTTTTTAGCATACCGTGCTAGTTTTCAATGAAATAAATACTCGGTTGTGTCAACCAATTATTAATTGTAACCCAGGAAAAAAAAAACATGTTGTTGCATCCATGGTAATGTTTATAAAACAAACCCGAGCCTTGTTGTTTTGCTGTTCAAATCTACTACTTTAACCAACAAATTGCTACCAACGGAATCACTTATACAACTGCTGTTTAGTAACTGTTAAAGGCTGCACATATGCAACAATATTACAACTTCTGTAGTACAAAATTGCTGTGCTCGCCATACATTTGTTGCTAAATATGTTGGTATACAACTTCACCACAACCTAACTTTCTGCTGACATATTTTTGTTAAAATGCAATAACCAATGTTTTAAGACATGCATATTGGTTCAAACAGAAGATATAGATCTGGTACAAATTCTGGGTAAATCATTCGACTCTGTCGGTATTTCATTTCAGACGTTTGTCAAATTTTTGTATAACACCTGCAGGCAACACCAAAATATTCTAATAAACCAAAGCGAACATGGACGATGCCATGATTATACATAACCACCCGCCATTTTGGCCAAACATCTATTCCTCTATTTAATATCAAATAATTATGTTTCAGTACGAAATTACGGATATAAAGTGATAAACATTAGTGTAATTGTGTCTAAATATAGGATTTGTGGAAGATTTAACGCAGATAAGTTCAGTTTACCATCTTAAAAATCTAGACATACTTTTCATTATTATTAAAATTTTAATCAAATACGAAACCCATAGAAATTGCGCAACTACTTTGCTCGATAAACACAATAAAATTTGCTACGAAAGTAATTCAATAGCCCTATATCACAGTGTAGAAGTTTTATCATATACCTGTGTATGGAATTCACAATGGCCGATATGTAAGTAAACATGATGACTGTAATGTGTTAGTTATATATTCTTCACTTCGTCTATTCAATACATTAGAAATAGGTTGGTTGCAATAAAGTAGAATCACGTAACAGAATAGTTGTATAGTTGACAAAAACTGAATCTTGCACTGACGCAAATGTCCTATAGCGGCTGCAAGAGGCTTACACTTTTTGTATAACTGTTACCTGCAGCCCTTATACAACCTCTTAAATGACTGAAGTGTCCTATTAGGTGTGCCCATTCCGCTTGTATAGCTGTTCTAAGAGGGTTTTGCCAATGTTCTTACAGTATACAATGCTGTGTAAGGAAAACTGTATAATCATTCTTGCAACTCTAATAGAAGTGATAGTTGTTAGTTGGGTAGTAATTTTTTGAAAAAACTTAGAAGTACCAAGATCATGTTGATCTTTTCTGACTTATCTGAAGCCAAGCAACCTCCCGTGTAACTCTGACGTGTTATTTCTGGGGCGCCCTGTATATCTTAAGATATCATAGATTCGAGACTATTGTGCATGCAGAATCCACAAATTCGATGTTTAGATGTAATCTAAACCAATAAACGTGGGGGTATCTCTTTGTAGAAGCAACAGAATCAGCTATGTCCGTAATAACCTAAAACAAAGACTTGAGTGTGGTATTTTGGGTGTTAGCGCCATTCGAAACTACACAACGTAGTAACAGTATATTAAGACTTTCAGGTCTGGTCTGGATTTGGAGCCGTGTGATTAGAAACTTCGGCCATTCACAACTTTAACTGTCAGATAAGTGGGGCGATCGTAGCGGATAAACCGAGCAAGTTTAATGATCTTAGCCTCAGCTTCGAAGGAGTAGGTGGTATCGGAATTGTTCTCCTCTAATTTATTTTGGGATGGAGAGATAACACAATGACTTATTGGAAGAGCCTGGAGTTGGTGTTTGTTTATGATCGCTATAAAATACTATGTATCGGGTTTGATATTCGTTTGCAACTAAACACATTCAGGGTCCGTCATCTTACGAAGAAACAATTAGTTCCTACAACAGTTCGATTTCAATGCAACAAAATATCTGGTATTCTTTAGAGATATAAAATCTTGAAATGAAATCACACAAATCGTTGCAAAGGTCATAAACGTTTTAATGTTATGCTATTATGGATTTCGAGCACATGGGCGACATGGTCAGCTCAAAGAAGGAGTAACCTCATAGACTAGTTTTCAACCTTCTCCTGAGGAATTTGGCGGCTTGTATGTCTGTGGTACCGCAGTAAATATCGGCCTTAATGCTGATTTACCAAATTTATTATATACAGTGGACCTCCGATAATCCGACAAACATTATGCATGGCAGTGTCGGACTATCGAATTTGTCGGATTATAGAGCACTGCCTAAGACCCCCTATAGTCCGGCATTTTTTACAAAAGAGTACCTTGTAATCCGACAAATTACATATCCAATGGTAAGATTATATATGTTATGTATATGTATGTACTTTGAAGTACAAATCATACATAGTTTATGTATGTCGAATTTAGTAAATTAGATAACAACAGAGAGCTTACGTTTTATTATAAAATTAAGCATAAATGCACATACATATGTAAAAAAATAATCAAGAATTATTAATCAAAATCATAAATGAATTTATCAAATTATGAAGCTTGGAAATATTCATCAATTTTTTTTTGTTTATGGTTGTTATAATGCGAGATCAGAGCTTTGTCCCTCAGTCTTCTCAAAAGTAAAAGTTCGTTGTAAGATGTATCATTCTCTTTAGCCCATTCTAAAACTAGCTCCAAGGCGTTAATTGCGTCTTGTGCTGTGACTTCTGAAGCAGTTGCAATCACGTCGTCGTTATTTTCCTGATTGTTTGTTGTACAATTAGAAACCTCTTTTATAATCTCTTCGTCAGACATTTAATGAAAAACATTTTCCCCTTTATCCATTCCACGGCACCAGATTTCCAAATCTTCCGGACTTATCTGTATTTCAGTAGTGACTTCCGAAGTTGATTTGTGGAACGTTGCTAGGAACGGTGACTATATCTGGCCATAACTTTTTCCAAGACGATTTAATAGTTGATGACGGTAACGCATTCCACGACTGACAAAGAGCAAAACCAAGTCCTTCATATTAAATTCTTTTAAAGTTTTTTCTATTGGTTGGTCTTTTGATACGGCTCTCAGAAGGAGGTTTTTCTTATAGTCTTGCTTGACAAACTGAATGATATTCTGGTCCATTGGTTGAATCAGTGCAGTGCAATTTGGCGGAAGAAACATCGCAGTGATGCATTTATCCTCAGTTGTCAGTTCTTCTTCAGACGGATGACCGGGAGCGTTATGAAGAAGCAACAACGCTTTTTGAGGAAAATTATGATCTTTTAACCATTTTCCAACTTCAGGTACGAAGCATTCATCAAACCACTTTTTCATGCACTTTTTTTGTCCGTAATAGTGTACAGGTAAATTAATGTTTTTGAATTTCCGCGGTTTATTAGATTTCCCAATCATCTTAAGCGCGTGTATGCCCGCAGCGTCAGCACATGGTAGTATGGTTACACGCTCTTTACTTACTTTCCGTCCAGGTACGGATTTTTCGTTAAGAAACGAAAGTTTTGTTAGGCATCACATGCCAAAAAAGCCCTGATTCGTCTGCATTGTACACCTGTGACGGGTCAAGATTTAAATCGTTCACCTTTTGCAAAAATCTTAATTTAAAGGGCTCTATACAGGTAGCATCGTTAGAAAGTTTCTCTCCTGTAATAGTCATTAAACGTATGCCATGACGACTTTTAAAACTTTCTAGCCATCCTTTGCTGGCCACAAAATCATCTTTTTTTCTTATTTCCTTATAAAAAACTTAGCTTTAATGGCCAACATTGGTCCTGGAATTGGTGTATGCCTATTTCTTTCCTGAAGAAACCACATGTACAAAGCTTCTTCCACTTCTGGATGTTCAGCTTCCTTGGGTGTCTGTCTCTTGCCTGGCCCGCAGTCAGTAGTTGACACGAACTTCTTGATCTTCTTGTGGTTTCTTTTAATGTCATAAATTATAGATCGGCCTACGCCGTATTCACTTGCTAAACTACTGAAGGTTTCATTGGGATTTAAGCGGTCTAAAATATCAAATTTTCCTTTAATTGTCAATGTTTTGTGCTTTCGCTTCTGAGTTTGTGATGACATTACTAGATACTATACTTAATACACAATGAATAAATAGTAAACAATGAACGCACGCTAGGCCGTACCGCTATCACAAGTAGTCAAAATCAAACTTAACAAACAATGCTTACGCGTCGAGGACGATAGCGGTGGCGCGTACAAGTTGTAACCTGTTCAAACCTGCGTGATCTACATTAGCGAAGATTGTCAAATACGTATGTATGTATATTTATATATTGGCTTCCTTATGGTCTGCGAGCAGGCATGGAGCTTGCAAGGTGTCAAGGCGTTTAGGATTTACCAGTAATGCAACACTAGTAGTAAAATATTTTTAGGTAATCAACATTAGTGGCACAAAAAACAAAAGAACTTTTACTTGCATTATTTGATTTAGTATTTGCAATTTAACCAGCCTGAGCTCATGGCAAAGAGTTTCATTCTCCTAAGTATACATTTTAGAGTGAGTTACCGTCACACTATACCAAGATCGTACATCAAATTTATGTTGGCATTAGACGCATTGCTTAATAAATATAAAAAGTATAGTACTTATGTGTCCAGTATTTTAATCACTAGCCATGGAATGGAGGAATTGTGATCTATCGATTTTGTAATTGGGGCGAAGAAATATAAACAGCACAGCATAAGCTTTCAGAAACCATCATCAACATACAATTTATTACCGTTTCTAAGTATTTTAGACTTAGGCCACAGCTGCGAGGCTTTTTTCTGCTGGTGCATTCTTGTCGAGTAGATCAACCCTGCATACCAGGAGTTTATATTTTTGCAAGATTTTTCATAATTGGCCATGTCTCCAGGGTTGATGCGACTTATTTTTCTGTTTGTCTCTCTTCTAGATTTACTTGTTCCATTCTTAGCACTTCCCGTACAAACAGTATAATCTAGCTAAACGGTAAATGATGGTAAAAACGTATAGTTGTGTTTGTCCGTCAATATCTCTCTAATAATTTAATCTCTAAAGTCAGAGCTTAGTTTTATAATTATTCCATCAGTAACCCTAGATAATATGCGAGTCAATGCCGAGCGTGGTAGTTTGAAGTGATCATTGTCAATTCATGAATCCAATATAATCTCCCAACGAATGCTTACTAGTTTTTATGAGACTACATTTTTTTGCTTACTTTCTGTATATCAAAGAGTCGATGCGGATCTATCTTAAGGCGCAATTCCACTGGGACAACAATGAACGATATGTGGCATGCTACTTGTTTCCTAGTGTTGCCTCTTGTTGACGTTCAACAGTGTTGCCCAAAATTCTATTAATGCCGCATGCGGATTTTGTTCTCCTATGTGGCATGCGCGTTGTCGTACATGAGTGTAGCATGCGTTTTTACGATTCAATTTCTTTGGATCGGAAAAGAAAAATAAAAACGGCTGAATATTGAAGAAGAAATATTTACGTAGATGGTCAAGAAATTCAGTACAATTTGTACAACAACTTAGTGGCTGACCATGATGCTTTATTCCGAAATTTCACACGGATGAGTAAAGACAATTTTCACTACTTACTTATCTAATCTTACCTATGCTAAAAATGTGATACCAACTTTCGGGAAGCAACAACGCCCCGCGTGAGACTGCTAGTGATATTAAGATATTTGGCTACGGGTGAAAGTTATCTATCGCTTTTGTATCTGCTTCCGATATCTGAACCAAGCAATTTCCAATACCGAATAGTTGTACTTTCCTATTTAAAGAAATCAACCGTTAATAAATAAGCCAACTATGGAAAGAAAATTAGAAGATGTTTCCTTCTTGTCCCCCTGAAACCATAACCAACTGCAGATAGTACTGTTTCGGGCTCATTAGACCTCATCAGTGCGATATAGGTCTGCTCGTCTACTACGGTAAGTCAAGGAGACAGCTGGACAGGAAGCAGACAATCGTATATGTCTAAAAGACTGAAGGTACTGTACACTAGCAAGTGGCCGTAGCCACCAACTATTTTTGCCTCCTGTAATTTATCCTGCTTTAGTCTTGCCTTTTCAAACCTCTCCGATTTGTTATTCAATAATTCATCCGAATTATGGTAATCTTCAATTAAATATAATGTTTCTTTATTGGTCCACTGCATTTTGTCGCCTGCTACAAGCCGCACCGATCCGAACGCCGGCGACACTGATCAACACGTGGATTCATGTCGCTGACGGCGCCCTCGATTGGCAACAACGGGCAAATTGTGGCATGCGGCAAGGAGACATTTTTTTTGTCGCTTTGTGTTGCCTCTATGGAAAGACAGTGTGCCGCATGCGTCAATGCCGTATGCTACATGTTGCGCCTTTACCTTGCGACGTAGTCCTGCACTATATAGAAAAACGAAACGGAACTTTAGACTGTGTTCAACTATGAGGCATGAAAGTGGGGACTGCATACCGTTTAGTAATATATCTTCAATTCGTCCGTCTATAGAATGTCAACCACGGATAGCTGTTTCGTGCCATCAGCATGGTGCAAGCTTGGGGCTGAACAACTCTACTCTAGTCAGAGTTGCTCAGCTATCGTTCGTTTTCCACCTAGCTTACTTACACCATGTGCAAAACACCAGTCGATGGTTGGCCGTCTGTGGTCGGACAATAGAAAGCTAAATTACTAGTTTCTTCAATGGTGAGTAGCCCGTAACTACTATAGCACCAGAATCTACGGCATCTAGCGGCCACAGTGTTGATCCGACTGACAATTCGAACTGGGAACAGACAGCTTTACAGTTTGTGCTGTCTAATTTCATTGCATACCGCTTCTTAGGATGAGAAGCAATGACACCCTTCAATAAATAGAAAAATTCGCTATTACGCAAACTTGCCTTGTAGATTACATAGAAGTATCCAGAATTCAAATGTTCTTTGTGATATCAAAATCACAAAATCGTATAAATTAATCTATAGGGACAGCAACAAACGTTAAGATAACTGTATTGAACTGAACAATGGTGAAGTGCCTGTGACACTTCAGTATATAATTGTAGGAGTGTAGGATGTCGGCAGTTAATTATAACGGCCATATTAGCGCATATTAGGGACGATTCAGAGATCCTGGAGACCCTTCAACTTAATCAATACAGTCTCCAAGCGCTCTGTTACAGCTGTTGCGTATGTAGTGCAGGGCCTTTGGATCATACCTGGTATATTCCAGCTTGGACATTGCCGAAAATGCACAAAGTTTTATAATTGAAGTAGTAGGCTGTGATGCGTTTTGAGGCTTCTTCGAAGCATCGTTAGACTGTCATGTTTACGCTTTATATTATTGATACCTTTGACTGTACCTTCTTGCTCAAGCTTGGTCTTGGTTATATCTGACCAAGATATAGCTGGCCGATCTAAAAAATATGGGTTAAACGAACGTGCGACATTTCAATATCTTTATTTTCACTCGAGTGAGAAGAATTTCAGTAGCAGAGATATCCACAATCCAGTTTGGGGTTCTTGGCCCTGGTTCTGGGATCACCTTGGTAGTTTTCAAGAAATCTCTGGCATCTGCTGAACACATGGATTTTTCACTTTGCCACTTAGATCTTCGTTAATAGATCAGAAACATAAGTATCCTGAAGAAAGATCACAAGTTGTTGTCAAAGCTTCCTGTACTAAGTTGTGAACCATAACGATGTGCAGTTACTTAACTCGTTCCAGGAAATTCCTTCGTTTATTATGTGTAATGCTGTCAGGTCGGCTCAAGGCATTTACCTTACAAGTAATTACACAGTTTCTATACATAATGGTTAAAGTCTCTTATGGGAGTAATTTGTGATATTTAGCGGAAAGATATTTTAAGACGCCTGTATCCTAGTTAATTCTGGTATGTGAAAAACAACTAAAAGGATATCAACAACTGCGCTGTTGGAATATTTATTTTTATTTAAGAGAATTGACTTTAAACAACAGCCAACCAGTATACTCTCAGATATGGGATTTGACTCAAACTCTGTTGATGTAAAAGTCCTCTACCGAATTTTTCTTAATACTAGGAAACGCACTTCAGCTGTAAAGCTGTTCCAGGAACCACCACAATTTTTCCGTGTCAAATATCGTTAAATAGAGGAAAACTGTAAGTTACCCATTACTCTAAATCCAGACCAACACGATTTTCCGAAATAAAAAAAAATCTGGAGCACTGCACCAAATTTTACACACACTAGGGTAATTCTAGTTTAAAAGGGGGAATGTACAAAGCGATAATAATGATAATAGAGAATTCTTCAGAAGTTGTGGAACAAAATGAAACCATATGCCAAATTGCCTTTATCTGTCCAGTAGAGATGGTTGGTCTAGAAATGACTTAATGTGCTTACGAACAGATGCCAGTAGAGGACAGTTATTGAATATGTCGTTAAAATATGACCTATTATGATTGCTGACATAGATTGAATGTTCATTGAAGTTAGTATGCTACGGTATCACATAACTTTGGATTTTGAATGAAATATACAAATATGTTTTCAAAAACTAAAATATTCTCTGGAAGATATGGAATTCTGAAGAATTCTACAGCTATTTCACATCATAATCAACCATCACTCACTTCTATGTTAAAAAAGTCTTTGGCTTCTTTGGTTTTGCCTTAGTTGGCGTTGTGTCGTACGTTATCTTAGCTCGGTGACATAGCTGATGACGTCATCGTCCAAGCGAGAAGATGACAAAGGAGCATAAGCGCTGTTGGAAGGGGCACCAAGCAGGTCTCACTTGAAGCGGCTGTGGACAAAAGAAAATCTGTTACACATGATAAGATTCTGACAGATGGCAACGCCATATTTCTAAAGTGCCCGAAGTATGACTTCCTGGCATGACTGGCTCTGCATTATCTGATATTCCATAGTGCAAATAGTAGCTTATGTACTGGAGCACATCTGCAGCTTGCAGCACATGTTGCAGTGTGGCAGTTTTAATTATTATTCCTATAGATATTTGCAAGAAAGCTTTATATTAATATATTTTCTCAAATGGCAAGAACGCAGGTTCGCTTTCTCATGAAAATGGTTCGTTAAGATGTAAGACGAAGTTTTATTGGATAAGTAAGTTTTTAACCTAAATCACGCAAACCGGACCGTTTTCAGTTACCTAAACCTACTATCCATTATTCCTTTGAAATCCCTTTTCAAGTTCGAAAAGGATAATGGGGAAAACCAATAAAGGGCAACGCGGTCCTTTTAGAATACCTACAGTTATTAGTACCTTCCGGAACAAGGCGGAGAGTAGGAAAGTGCACGATACATCTGCAATTTATGTTGCTAAGAGTTTGAATACTACGTATCTGTCTTATTTTGATTATTTAGCTAGCTTAAGAATACGATTCTAATCAAAGATTGGCAATTATTACTAGGGTCATCAACAGCTTGAGAGTTAGGAAAAATGGACATCTGCGGGATTCGAACACGCATCTCCTCCAACCCATGAATTAGTCTACACCACCAGCTGCCAACAAACTGGATTGGTAAGGTTTATCCACGCTGTTGCGTGGGCACATACCACGGTACCACCGTGCGAAGACAGTAACCTGCATACGACTTTTCGGATGAGCGCATCCATAACAGGCAGTATGCTTAGTAAACAGCTTGTGTTTGTTTCACTTGAGTGCCTCCAGAATGGGCACCAGAAGTTTGAAAGGACAAAGGAACCTGGGTAGTATTGAATTTGCCTCTAACAGTCGACTCAGATGATTGGTTGGCAGCTGGTGCTGTAGACTAATCGGTTAGATCGGCATCACGGAATGGAGGACAAGCGGGTTCGACTCCCAGCGGTGCCCATTTTTCCGATCTCTCAAGTAGTTGTTTACCGAACATACTAGCTATTGTGGATGCTCTTATGCGAAAGATTGTATACATGTTCTACTAGGCTCCTTGGTATGTACTTTTCAAATCTCTAATACTAACTCTGGTCAACATTTAATAGCTATACCTGCTGAGCCCATATGGGTAAGTCAGGGTTTTTGGGATCACTGAAGGCAATGCCATGGCATATTAAGCTCAAGATCATTTCATGGCCAAATTTAGAAAATATCCGGCACATTTTTAAAAACACACATGTGCATATAATGCAGTTATTTGAGCCACTGAATTCAAATCTGGCGTTTACTTTGCCCATCAACTTTGGCCTTGAAATAACTTTAATTTGATGTTCGAGTAGTCACAGTAGTCTCCGGATGACTCGGCCGGTTAAAACAAACACCAGATCGTGATCCAGATATCACAGAAAAAAACATGTGGAGTACATATAGACACAGACATTTTTACACACGTTGACCCCTAAATAGGCTTAATGCGACCCTGAAAAGACTTCTTGATGACCTCGTCTGGAACACAAATACCATATTCAGATTTAGCGAAATGAGAAAAAATATACATGTGGTGGTTTCCGAATGACTTCAGATACTCCTAAGAAACAACCATTGAAATAATCTATAAATGACCTCGCTGGTTGCAACAAATGCCAAATTTGGATTCAGAAATCCAAAAACCTTGAAGGTGAAAGTAATTGAATAAATTCAAGCACCCTTACAAAATTTGAACTTGACGTAACCATAGTTTGTCCTTAAATAGCCTGTGCTTGACCTCACTAGGACAAAAAAATGCCACCAGATTTGGGTTCAGTGACGCATAAGACTAGAATGTAACTTCTTCTCGAAATTCGATAAAGTGGCCCTCATGAGGACCAGGGATAGCTCTGAGATACAACTGAACGTATAAAGTGGATGATGCTTAACATTATAAAATAAGCTCCTCTAATGAACGACAAAATGCGTGTCCGGAGAGAAAGTAGCAACCTACCCATACGGTCAAAAATCACATTTTTCGAACTATTCTAAGAAGAAAAAAGCTTGCAAAGTATCCATTTAGGTGACTGATCTCTGATACTGAATTGTTTATGTGATCATTTAAGAATCGTGGTCCTATCACCAAGTCAGATGGCAAATTGCGTTTAGTGATTATCAAACACATAAAATCGGTTCAGTCATACGTTAAATTATGTTTCAATTCGTTCTCTGCATCTAACACTAAAGTCGAGGATTACTTCCTTGTTGGTGGGCAGAGGGATATCACGCTGAATCACTTTATCGAAAACATAGTATGGTGCGTCGACAATGATTCTTTGGATCTTGATCTGGAACCGATGATGTATGGTAATATTACTGTTACCCCGTTATGCTACACAACTGGATGCCATACATCCAAATTGGTTTTAACACAGTAATGTAGAGTAATAGCTTCTTGTTCAATGACAATTAAAGTTCCGAAAAATAATGTAATATGTCTCTTTCAGTTTCATTTCACTGATTGTGACATGACAATTTTTGGGTGTACCTTATGTATTTTGAGACCCTTGAATCAAATTAAAAACAAAATTATTCTGTCACCCACAGATATTCGGTAACGTCTACTTTTATGAATCACAATACATAACATCTCATATTGCTGCATTTCTCGGCGTTTATGCGCTGACGCATATATATGTATAATGTTAAAACCTGTCTATTCCTGCTTATTATATGCGAGCTATATGTTTAGAGAGCATATTGCGTTTATTAGTAGACTAATAGCAGCCGAGTCAGTTACGTTTTCTGTGTTGAAGAGTACTGAGGTGTTCTGTGTTTTTTTTAGTTTATTGTTATCGAGACTAGCTATATGGACAATGCCTAGAAACTGTGTAAATAGGGCGAAGAGTTTTTGTTATGTGTGCGGAGAGCTAACTTTTAAATCCCAAAAACGTACTTTTACTCCCCTTGTGATGAAAGCATACGAACTTTATTTTGGAATTAAAGTTGGCGACCAAGATAAACTATGGGCCCCTCATATATGTTGCAAGACTTGTGTAACGTTGTTAATAGGTTGGTTAAGAGGCGACAATCGTAAAATGCCCTTTGCGGTACCAATGGTTTGGAGAGAACCGAGAGACTATACTACTGATTGCTATTTTTACCTCACAAATATTAAAGGTATTTGACCAAAATCGAAACATACTGTTAAGTATTTTAATTTACCATCAGCTTTGCGGCCCGTTAAGCATAGTGATGAACTTTCCGTTCCAGTTCCACCAGAATCTTGGTCTTTGCATGAAAAAGTCGAATCCACCGATTCTGACAATGATGGTACAGAAAGCGTAAAAGTTTCCGATCCTCCGTTTGACCTGCCAGGTCGTTCAACAACGCTGCATTTGATCACAAATGACTTAGTTCGAGAACTAAATCTGTCAAAATCACAGACAGAACTGTTAGCGTCAAGATTACAAAGATGGAATCTTCTCCACGGTGATGTTAACATTACTTTTTATCGAAAATGGCAACAAGACCTTTCACACTGTTTCCGTTAAGAAAGTGAGTTGATATATTGCTCCGATGTCAACAATTTGTTTGACGCGTTAGGACAGAAACATGATCCAAATTTCCAAATGATTGGCGCCTGTTCATTGATTCCTCTAAGCGGTATTGGTACACAACGGTAATAAATGTCCAGCTGTACCTATAGAGCACGCAATTCGCATGAAAGAATCATATGAAAATATGAGAGTTCTGTTAGAGCATATCCATTATAATGAATATGGATGGGCCATATGTGGAGATTTAAAGGTAATAGCCCTTCTTCTTGGAATGCAACTGGGATATACCCAATATTGTTGCTTTCTTTGTGAATGAGACAGTCATGTGCGGGATCGACATTATGAACAGCAGGAGTAGCGACTACGTCAGGTATTAACTCCGGGCCTCAAAAACATTGCTCCTGAACCACTAGTTGATCCCAAAAACGTGTTGCATCCACCTTTGCAGATTAAGTTGGAACTGATGAAACATTTTTTATGGATCGAAATGGAAGAGGGTTTCTGCATCTAAACCAAACATTTCCGAGACTTGGAAGTGAGGCAAAAATTAAAGAGGATATATAATGGTTATAAAGGAATGGGATGTAACATGTCTCTAAAAATTGACTTTAGGGATTCTCATCTCGATTTTTTACCGGAAAATTTAGTTGCGGTAAGTGATAAACATGGTGAACGGTTCCACCAAGACATTTCTGCTAAAAAAAAAAAGGTGTCAAGGCAAATGGAGTGTCAAGTTGCTTTCCGATTATTGCTGGACATTCCAGGAGCAACATTTGGCCGTAAAACATCGCCAACAATATTCTGAGATTAACGTTTATTCAAGTATTTATTAGTACTCTTACAAACATATTCCTATATTTCACGAGTACAAGCCTTACTGCAAGAAAACCGTGGGTGTTAGAACAAATCGAATGTTATTTCCGGCTTTTTGGGTACGTTTTACATAATAGCCACCTTCTTTTGTACATGTTACAAAAAAATTATTTTAATTTTGTTCACCAGTGTTTTCATTTGATTCCTTCCTGCAAATATTTGATTTGTCATGCTTGTATTCCGTCTAAATAAATTCCGAGGTACTTACGATGATCTAATTGTAGATTTTGTAAATTGGCGATAGTTAACAGGTTTTTCTACATATGGTGATCTCTTGTGTGGACTTAGTCTCTGATACTTTTAGTAACTACCTCATATGCTTTCTAGAGGACTATCGCCTAACTTTTCCTTAACGCATTCCTGGAGCATTTTTTCTCCCATTTTCGCTTGTTATTCGGCTGTAACTGCAAACGGATTACCGTGACTGCGCGTGCCTGTCCGTGCATTGTTCTTTGTCCGCGATGTTTTCCTACTGGAACGAACTTAATGCTACAAAACACTGAAACGCG